TGGATACAAAAGGACTAACCAACTAACAAAACAAAGATGGCTTTTAGGCAATTACATGCTATTTATGAGAGATTATAGAGTTGACAATGCCTACATAAGTTGTATGTTATTACTGACTGATGATATATTTAGGATATGAAACTATCCTATTTTGATAACCTTTTCGTTTGTTATTTTTTTTTTCATGAAGTCTATTTTTAACATTGCCACAGACAAACATACATAACTCTCACAATCACATTCTTTGCAAATAAGGTTTTAATTGGAAATTTGCTCGCATTTTTCATGGTGACGCCACTGGAGCGTTCGGCAACCCACCATATTTCGATCTTATCAGTAATGCCAGTTCTCTATCAGGGCAATTTTGTAGATTCATCTCTTGAAAATTATAACGGGGCCAAGGCATCCCGCTGGAGAAACATAACGCATAAAAATCTGACGAATACACATAAAAAGTTGTTGAATATCACATCCAAACAGCAGCACATTGGTTGTTTCGCTTGTTGTGTAATATTACACTGTACGATGTACACAGAATTTTAAAACAAATAATTTTGATGAGTATAATATTGTACATCTCCACTTTTACCAATATGATCAATACATCATCATGAATAACATATACATATTATATTTATTTGCTGTGTACACATTAAAGTGATGAGCGGTGTTATAATTTGGGTGCTGATTAGCAGGGCAGCAGAAGCAGAAGAATTATGTCTGCTTGTCTGTGACATTGCTATAAAAGAGCATTGCATTTGATATTACGAAAGCTCATTGGCGCACCATTTAACGGTAGCTTTTGATTTCCATTTCATCGTGTTGCGTTCAGTTGTGAAATACAAACCGTAGGGTAAACGCTCCTACAGTTGCGGTACGTTAGAAGCGTTAGGTTCCTATAGTTGTGTACTCCATAGACAACTATAGGAACCTAACGCTTCTAACGTATGGCAACTGCGCAATTTTGTTAAAAAAGTATAACCTCTCCGTGACAATGACTGCTGGAGTCATTGCCGTGACCAGGATTCGAACCTGGGTTACTACGGCCACAACGTAGGGTCCTAACCACTAGACGATCACGGCTATAGAGGATTGGTGATCGAAGAGTAATCGATTCGTCTAGATATTCTGCACTTTCAAGGTCATATGAAACAGTTAGTTGTTTTGACCAAGATTTTTATAGTGAATTCGTTTATTATTCACTTCCAATCTGGACCGGGTATCAAGAGTGTGACTGCTTGTTTCTGACTAACGTCCTCTTGATCGTTTTTTTAAACTAATCGCAGGTTGAGCTTCGCACTGGACAGTCCAATTAAATTCAGGACACTACAACAAGCTTCATGAGAACTGCAAAAACTTTGGAGAAGATTCGAGAACTTCAGGAAAGAACAGTGAACCTCAGAGCAGTTCCGTTAGCATTAGATTAATTCAATGAATTTTAAAGAAGTTTCGAGAACTTCAACTTTTAATAAATAAATTTTAGAGAAGATCCATAATCGTTAAGAAAATGGAAGAAGCTTTAGGAAGTCCGAAAAAGTTTAGAGAAGTTTTAAAATGTGCTAAGAAGTATTCTGGACATCGGGCTAGTTTCTCAAACTACAAAAGTACTTCAAGGCAGAGCGGAGCGACACATTTAAACCTCAATTCTAGATGCTCAACGAATCTCACATTAGCGAATCAATCTTCGAAAAATCTTATTTCTCGCATCATCTTTTTGCAGGAAGTCTTCAGAATCACCATCACTCTCTTTGTTTCTACTCAGTGAAAAACATTTGTCCTGCATCGTAGATAGATTCGCCCCCCTCGTTCAAGGCAGTTTCACTAACTTCAACTTTCAACCGTTGGGAACTTTCAAGTAATTCTGAAGACATCGGGATAGTCCATTCCATATTCAACAGAGATTTTTCATGAAAATTCACTTGATTTTTTGATTTGATTTCTTTATTATAGAGACTTTCAGCCGTTGGCTGGTTCGTCTCTGAAAAGATAGTGTGGGGTCTATAAGAGACCTCCTCTAGTTAAATACTGATGCTGTCAATGTGCTGTCTTTCTTCGGAGTTTTGATTGTTAAGTTGCTGAGGATCTTGCTTTGGTTTGAAATGTTGGGTGATAAGAGAAAGTCCATTTGTCTTGCGGTGGTCGGGATTTTGGGAGGTTTCATATTTGGTCGAAGAGACCGGCCTCGCGGAGGAAGCCCATTAATGCTGTGATTCTAGTCGGGTCGTTACTCAGTGCGTCCTTAATGCTGCCCGGTATGCCGTACAGCTCTCGTGAGCCTTCGTATTGAGTACAGTGGCAGATTATGTGTTCCACTGAACAGTTGGTGTGGCAGAGCATGGCCGGTATGGCCTGTTCTGAGTCTTGCCTGTGTTCGGTGGTCAGGGGGGGGTCTTCCCATCTTTGTGTGTCAGCCTTCACTTTTCTAAGGAAAATGCTAGTTGATTTGATTGGGACCATGTATTTGACCATAAGTCCCAGATTTTGTTGGCAACCCATTTTTCCAGGTCCCCTGATGGAACCTCCTTGGTGAACAGTTGGGCTTGTCTTCCAGAGGCCGCTAAATGATCCACCTCCGTATTACCACGAATGCCGCAGTGACCCGGAATCCATACAAATGTAGTGTTTCTGGGGGCATATGGGTGAATGGCTTGGATCCATGAATGCTTAATAGAGTCTGAGTTGAGGGCTAAAACTACACTTGCGGAGTCCGTCAATACGGCAATCGGCTTGTTTGAGGGAGTGGTAGCAGCAATAAAAGCAGAGACCGCTTCTGCCGAGAATATAGTGGACTGGTCTGGAAGTCGATGAAGTCGGACATTTGGGGGCCCGTGATGCCGATGCCAACCCCTTCACGAGAAACCGATCCATCGGAGTAACGGATAGTGTGGTTGCAGTATCTGGTTCTCTAGAGTTCCCCAAAGGATCTCACAAGTAGAGCTGGATCCTGCCTTGAACTTCTTCTTTAGAAAATTCACTTGGAGTTCTTCTCAGCATTCGCTTTGTATGCTCCCGAAACTTTCATGGAATTATTCTACAAAATTTACTTGGAACGCTTCTCTGAATTATCTGAAAAATATCACCAGAATATACTTAGAATACTTCTCGCAATTCCATTGTAATATCCCTCGATTTCCGAATTTTATTTTCTACTAGTTTTCCATAGAAATTCTGCTCAGTAAGTAATCCGTTGGAAATATTCTTAGATTTTCCCTTGGATTTTTAATCACATTGTAAGTATCCTGAGAATTCATTTGCATTTCTGCTCATAGATTCCTTAGATTTATCTTTAAAGGGTGTCCACGATGAAATTGCCACACACAAAATTGATTCGCAAAATTCGAGTTTTCATCCGATTGCCATCAAATTTTCAGGGATTGAGAAATAACTATTAAACTTCATTTTACCATTTTACTCGTATTTTATTTACAGTCCATACGCAAATGCCCGCACCTTGGCCTTAACCCTGCACAACCTGTGAATCAACCGTTTTTTGCATGTAAACCCATACTTTCTTCAGTTCCTCGACTGTCTTCACTACCTTAGGTCGTTTAAGAAGGTGCTGCTTCATAATCGCCTAGTACTTCTCGATGGGGCGGAGCTCCGGAGTGTTGGGAGGGTTGAACATTTTCGGCACGAAATTGACCTTATTGTCCGCATACCACTTCAGCACGTCCTTGGAGTAGTGGCATGAGGCCAAATCCGGCCAGAAGATTGTTGGGACGTTGTGGGCCTTCAGGAGAGGAAGCAGCCGCTTCTGGAGGCACTCTTTTATGCACACCTGTCCGTTCATCGTGTCCTGGGTCATGAAAGGTGCACTCCGCTTCCCGCACGTGCAGATGGCTTGCCAAACCAGGAATTTCTTCGCAAATTTGGACATCTTCTGAGTGCGGACATGCTCCGGAACGCTGAACTTATCCTTGGCCGTGAAAAACAGGTTGCCGGGGATCTGTTTGAAGTCGGCCTTCACATATGTTTCGTCGTCCATGATGCAGCATCCAACTTTCGTCAGCATGTTGAGGTACAACTTCCTGGCACGGGTTTTGGCGGACTTGTTCTGCTTCTCGTCGCGATTAGGGGCCTTTTTGTACCTTGAACGTTCGAAGCCCAGCCTTAGTTTTGGCCTTCTGGACAAAACTTCGGCTTAGGTGCAGCTTCTTAGCCACATCCCTAACGGAGGCGTTCGGATTTCGGTTGAAGGCCCCAACTACGCGGTTGTGATTTTTGGTGTTGTACGGAATACTTTTTCCTTCACTTCTGGGCTTCCGATCGGTGGTCAACCGTTCCTCGAACCGCTTAATCACTCGCGACACCGTGGAATTCGCGATTCCCAACGTTTTAGCGATGGAACGATGCGAGAGATCCTTGTTCTCGTGATGAATGCACAAGATTTTATCACGCACGAGCTGTTCTTTCGACTCCATTTCCGCGAGTTTTGATCACAGGACTTTAAAACTTGCAGGATGTAAATAATGCACTATGAACTAAATCCACCCAAATTTTCATTAAATTCTACCTAACGGTTAAAAAGTTAGAGCAATTTCATAGTGTGGCAATTTCATCGTGGACACCCTTTAGCCAAACAAATTGGCAAGCTTTCCTGAAATTCTTTTTCGAATTCCTTTGAAGATCTCCCGCAGTTCTTCGCCTATTTAATTGTAATCGTGATCTGAATCTAAAATCAACTTTCTGCACTTAGAAAACCATTCGGAACTTCGAAAACTTCCAGTGCCCGAAAATGCTGGAGCTTCCTTAAAGTCTCAAATTCGTGCTCACTCATTTTCCAACAACTTTGCTGAAAACAATTTTCTATTTGGTCAGGGTCACAAGGAGATTACATTCTGCGAAAATGTCCAGATGACCAATTTGATTTATTCATATTTATAAATATAGGTATATTATATTTATTGATATTTTGACTAATAGTGAGAAAAGTCATTAGTACCACCACGAAGACAAACCACTTCTACATCCACTTTCCACTTGTCTCCCCCTCTCAACAGGAAATCCGCGAGCCAGAGCACCTGCGCAAGCTGTTCATCGGCGGTCTGGACTACCGCACCACGGACGAAACCCTGAAGGCCTACTTCGAAAAGTGGGGCAAGGTGGTCGATGTGGTGGTCATGAAGGACCCCAAGACCAAGCGCAGCCGCGGATTCGGGTTCATCACCTACTCGAAGCCGTACATGGTGGACGAGGCGCAGTGCAAGCGACCGCACAAGATCGATGGCCGCGTGGTGGAACCGAAGCGGGCCGTCCCACGGCAGGACATCAACCGACCGGAGGCCGGTGCCTCGGTTAAGAAGCTGTTCGTCGGCGGATTGCGCGACGACTTCGACGAGGAACACCTGCGGGATTACTTTGGCCAGTTCGGTAATGTGATTTCGGCTTGCATCGTCACGGACAAGGAGAACGGCAAGAAGCGTGGCTTCGGATTCGTCGAATTTGACGACTACGATCCGGTGGATAAGATCATCCGTAAGTATTGTGTGGGTTCCGGTGGGGGTACCAACAGTCTCCCGCACTAGACGTTTCTACCTGTTGAAATGAATCTGAATCTCAGGGGCTGTAAGAGTAATAAATTGCTTGGAAATTGCGTTTTCGAACTGGACTTTTCGTCTGGTCGAGGTATTGTTTCAAGTAACAAGATTCTTTTTTCTGGCGATGAATATGATGGGTGGTTTGTTTAACGAGATTTTTTGTTTGTTCTTTTCTCAACAGTGCAAAAGAGCCACACCATCCAGAACAAGATGTTGGATGTGAAGAAAGCTTTGCCCAAACAGGAGATGGATCGATACAAGACTGAGGGCGGCCGTGGAGGTGGTGGCAGTGGTGCCTGGGGAAGCCAGCCTCGCGGTGGTGGTCCATCCCAAGGATGGGGACAGGGTGGTGGCCGCGGAGGCGGTGGCTGGGGACAAAGCCAGCGTGGTCAGAATGAGTGGGGAACCAGTGGATTCCAGCAGCAAGGTGGATTCAACCAAGGCGGTTACGGAAATGGAGGTGGTTACAACCAGAGTGGAAACTGGGGTAGCCAGGGAGGAAATCCATGGGATCAAAACTGTGGTCAGCAGGGAGGTTGGGGCACCCAGAGTGGCGGCTGGGGCCAAGGTGGTGGAAGCTTTGGCAATGAATTTGGCAACAATTACCAACAGGGATACAGTGCCGGTCCGATGCGTGCTGGTGGCGGTTACCAGAATCAGCGATCGGCACCATACGGTATGGAGTCGTACGACGGTATTTATGCTCTTTGATTAGCGGGTTTAAAGTTTCAGGGTTTTGATTTATTCTTTTAGGTAACCAAGGTGGTTTCGGCGCAAGCAGCGGAGGTTACGGTAATGCCGGTGGAAACCGTCGATACTAGACGAGTCACTAGGTACAAGCTGGCAGAGAGAGGCTGGGACACACGCTCTATTGTGTAAGGTAAATATTACTGTGAGCGTTGATTTGTTGATTAATGTTTCTCGTCTCTATTATCGGGTTTTCTGTTGCATACATATTGTACCGGCGGATGATTGCAAAACTTTCCATTCCTATTCCGCTCACCCACTTGGTTTTCGATGAGCATCGTCCGGGGGAGAGTTCAAGATGATAACGTCTTTCACGCTCGGACGATTGCAATTTAAATCATGGTTTTGTTCATCAGTTTTTTGTTGATGATTATTAGTTACTTGCAGAGGCGAGCCACCTTCTGGTGAGGGTCGTTTTGCTTCAGTGCATCATTCTCGGGTACAATACTGGCGTTCAATTTGAATTGCTTTGAATCACCCATGGGTTCGGGGCAAGTACATGTTTCATCAGCACGGAACCTATCCGGATTTTGCACAATTATTCCAAACTAACCATCACTTCCGATGTGATTCTTTGTACACGTTATCTTCCAAGTCGTAGGATTAAGAACCGAAATTCCACCTTTACAGTCACCGATAGTTGTCGCTACTCTAATGCATGGTATATATCTTCTTGATTTTTGCCTTTCCATTAGGTTTTGCAAAGAACAGAGAGAGTTCAGAAGGTCAGATCAGTCGAATAGAGAGAGAAGAAAAGTCAAAAAGGCAGAGATGACTAAATAGGCGTGTGAGAAGTGAGAAAAAGGGAAGGAGAGAGAAGCCAGAGGAAAGAGGAGTATGAGAAGAAGAAGAAGAGTGCAGGAAGGAGGAGAAAGCATTCGTATTTGTTTTATTAAGCTAACCAAGGAAGCAAGGAAACTCGACAAAAACACAAGTATATAGACAAATCATTCAACAGGAAGAGGAAGCAGAGAGAGAGCAGCAGGAGGAAGAGAAGTGATTTTTATTGACAGAAGAATCTTTAGTGAGAAGGAGAAATCTTTGAGAGTGTGAGAAGAACAGTTGGAGCACAGAAGAAGCAGCAGCCAGGATAAGCGACACTGTAAGAGAAGAGTACCTCTATAACCGTCTCAAAAGTACAATCAGCGCGCAAATATTGCAGCAAGCAAAGAGCATGAGCGAGAAAAAGTACGGGCAGGTTCATTTCTTGGGCTGATTACACGATACTTCTTCACCGGCTCTTCGTTCCTCACTCCCTCTCTAGGTTCGTTCGTAAGAAAACAGCCCAAGCATAGAAGAATATGCTTACCATTCTTCACACAATAGATCTCCAACCCCTTGTTATCCCCACTCGTATTGGGATATTCGGGCAGCAATTTTCCCTCTCACGCAATTTTCTTCGTGTGCAAGGAAGAAGTTTCTTTTTTTTTCTTTTTATTGCGGTAATAATTGCAGAAGTGAAACATACAGAAGAATATTTCGCAAAGTCTTAGGTGTAGAAATATTTAATTTAAGGATCAGTTGTAAGAGAAATTTATCTTTTTCTCGCAATATACACAGCATAACATTGATTATTATAAACAAAACAAAGTATAGTAAAGGAATGCCTAGGTAAGCTAACAAACTCGTAAAAATCGTCCATCAAAGAGAATATACACACTTTAATTAAAGAACAAACAAAAAAATAAAGAAGTAATCAGATTGACTAGCATAAATCAACAGATGGTAGTGCAGAACATTTACGAGAGAAGAAGAGGTCATATGCAAAGCTAAGAACTTCATCTGTAAATATTTACTGAGAGATTGCCTTTTTTTGTTGAACCACTTGTATAATTTTGACTCCTTTTCTCCTGCGTGTATCTCGTTTCACACTTTGGAGTTATTTTCTTGGATTTTCCTATTTAGTTGTTCGAAAGTCCGGTCAAATTTTCACTCTGTTCGGGATAAAATCCTTTATTTATTTTCGATATGGTCTACCACCCTTCTTTTCCTTCCTCTCATCAGTAGTCGAAGACGACAAATGAGTCAGATCAGTGAATAATTATTTATCGACAGAAGAGTAATAACCACAAGCAGTTCTAGATTACCGAATGGCCGATATTCGCTAGGATTCCTAGACGAGAACAAAACAAAAACCAGAGCAGTCAACTTGCAGAAAGATAAAAAAAGCAGAAAAGGTAAAACAAGAAACACGATATCTGTACTAACCTAGTAGAGGAGGTAATAGTGGTAAAAAAACCAACGCAACTTAAGATTTAATCAACTAAATGTTCAAATCAAATAATTTTCAAGATAGTAAAGGAAAGAAGTATAGTAAGAGATCAAAAAACATAAACCAGGTTGTTTTTCTTTAGAACTTAAGAAGCGGTAGTAAGCATCTCAGTTCGAATAGCCTTGTGGATGGACTGTCGTGTTTTCTGGCAATGTTTTTGACAGTTTTTGTTAATACAGGTACAGAAAGAAAGAAGAAAGCAAGATGTTTAGTAAGTCGAATCCGTAGCAAGTATTATGGTTTGTTATTAGTTCGGTTTCAGTTCTTTTGTTCAAAACAAATCAACTCTTAAATTTATTCTGTGTAGACACCGTTTTTGCGAGGAGGCACTGCAGCTAACTAGAATCCCATCCCCAATCGTCGTATTGAAAGAAACATATTTCCTCTTCATTTTTTTTATTTCAATTTTCTTACCCAATAGATCAAGTAATCACACGCATCAGCTGTACATTGCCCGACGCACTAATCATTTCCCTTCTTCTCTTCTTTTACGTTCGGTGCTTACGGTTTTATTTGAACGTAGTTGCAAAGAGTGCGCCCTTTTTGAAATCTGTCACGACGGCGGTCCTGGTGCGACCTAAACCTTACAAGGTGGGACTTGTTTCTTGTCGCCCGCAGTCTCGTGGTTCTCACGGTAGGTAAGTTCGATTGTCGATAATCCTTTTTACAGATTACCAGACGAGCGACACTGTGTGGGCGAACATCCGAGGCTGACTCGTGCAGTTTCGGATTCCGTGCAGTGGTGGTACATAGCAGGTTTACAATGGTATTTCTTGAACACCTTTCCATACTTGATAAGTAGTACACCATATTCAACCTTGCTGTGTACTTCCGTAACAATAAGGTATTTTTCTTCTCTTTGCAACGTTGTAAGGTTGTCATCTTTGGGAATGTATTGTTTCTGAAGGCACAAGTGACGGCTATAATAAATTTTCTGTTTTGTTTAAAAGGCGTTCCATTTACTATATCCGAAAATGGCCATATTTGTTTCATCCTCTGTCTCATCATTTGGGTCTACTGTATTAGAAATCCTAGTAAAATGTTATTAACAGATTAAGGCGTTTCTTATGGTGGTAAACTCCAACCGGTATTATCATCGGTTTAGAATGTCAGACTGTTTTGCTGTCGACGTTGATGTTAATCGATACGATCCTTAACAAATATTGGGCAGCTCCTCCAATCAAGGCCGGTATTAAAAGTTCAACCGAGTTGAAGATTACCGTCATTAGTTTCTTGATTGAAATAGAAACAGATAGTTGGCAGTTTTGTCATCCTAAAAAAATCTTCACTTATGCATATTTTTAGTTGGAAAATCAGGGAATTTCATTCTTATTCTAGGAATTATTTCTTAATCACAGAATCTTATTATTTTTTTTATTTACTTACTTACTATTCTCTTCATCGGATTTTTGTTGTCTAAATGAAGATTGATGTGTGTGTGTGTGTGTGTGTGTGTGTGTGTGAGTACAATCCATCGCCCTCTGTACCGGCAGAGCTTTTATGGAAGAAACTTATCTGCATTTTCTGTATGTCGAATGTGCAAATATTTTTAGCCCTGGAGATGGAAGGTGACAGCTCTATCGTACATTAAACGACCCATTTCAAGAATGCCTGTTTCTGCACGTACATTCTGAGGTCATTTTCTGATACAATAAGCCCCGCAAAAATACACAAGTGTATTCTCACTTCCAGAATAAAAAAAAAACTTTTTATTCTGGCACGTATTTAGTTATAAAATGATTGGTATATATGTGTAGAATAAAATAAAAAGCAAGTGTACTTATCTGGTTGTTCCAATGTGATGAGTGAGTCTCCATCGTACCTTGATGTTCACGTCTCCTTTCCCGTTTCCTTGTTTCTTGTGCTATAAATGTAAATGTGTTTTATGCATCTAAATTACCTTTGTTGTGATACATCCTTCAACGAAAACAAATTTTATTGTATTCCCCTGCTTTTCTGGGAGGACATTGGCGTCCCATGTCACTGGTCATCTTTAGGTCACCCAGCACTTGGAATGTGCACTCCGTCGGTGTTATATGCAAATTGCAAAAGAAAGAAAGAAAGAAATACATACAACCGGGATTAGTTTCAAGAAGTGATTATTTTCATCGGATTCCCCAACTAACCATATTATCGCAAAGTGAGTATATACAAAGCTTTATTGCGACTATATGGTTACTTGGGTACCCATAGGCCATCAGAATGGTTCATCGGTTGCAAATTCAGGCATTTTGTCGTTATGTTTCTCAATGTTTTGACTGTATCCTATTTTATTCAAAATTATACCTTCACTACCCAAACAGCATTGTACACCTTATGAAAGTTTCAAAACCTTCTTTAAGTTTAAATACTGGTGTAAACAACTCTTACAAAGTCAAAGTTGCTGCTTTGGTATTGCAACTACGGGTAATCATTGAAAGTACTTGCATTTTGCTCAGGCACTTTTGAGCAAACTGTAACCACCTTCTCATACTCGAAATGTGCCTCGACCAATCTGGCACAACGATGCCCTATACGCTCTCTGACCAAAGCGCAGGGTTGTTGTCTAAATGAAGATTGATGGGGGAAAAGCCTATTTGCGTAAAAGGACACAAACGATCGCGTGGCACACATCGAGAGTGGCCTGCTTTTGTCGACAGCCGAGTGAACACTGAGGGGTTTTGGGTTAACAGAGGCAGAGCGCGGGAAAGCATAATGTTCATACTTGTATGGCTGAGCTGTGTTCTGTCTACTGCTTGATTTAGTTTAAGACCACTTTCAATATAAAAGAAGAACACATCTGTTGCAGTTTGTATCTGAAGATAAACTCGACAGTGAGCATGCATAAGGGCGTATACGCGATGATCGATTATCTTCATCGATTTTCCCTTTGCATTGCTACAGCTAAGCGAAACAATTTCCTAGAATTTTTTCAATGCAAAGTTGTAACAGGTTGTATTGGCTATCGAAAGCAACAGCAAACGTACCGTGAAACGTTAATTCTAGCAAGTCGACAGTGAGCATGCATAAGGGCCTATACGCGATGATCGATTCTCTTCGTCGATTTTCTCTTTTGTTAATAACTCGCTAGATTTAACGTTTCTCGGTGTGTTTGCTGTGGCTTTTGATAGCCAATACAACCTGTTACTACTCTGCATTGAACAAATTCTAGAAAATTGTTTCCCTTAGCTGTAGCAATGCAAAGAGAAAATCGATGAAGAGAATCTATCATCGCGTATTCGCCCTTATGTATGCTCACTGTCGAAGTTATTAACAAAAGAGAAAATCGACGAAGAGAATCGATCATCGCGTATACGCCCTTATGCATGCTCACTGTCGAACTCATCTTTATTCGCTTGTTTATCAGGAAGGTCTCCGAAGAGAGCAAGAGAGTGTTCTGTTCATTATAATGTGTTAGTGTTATACAGAGCAAACCGGTACACTACAGTCCTCCATACTTCGACAAGATTCTTTACAGAATCTAATTTGTTACTATTTCATGCATACAAAAATTCTTACAACCGTAAAATTCAATTAACAATCGATTAATTCGACAGCACGTAATGCCTAAATACATTTTCTTCTTTTCACTAAATTCTTCGAAACAGCATGCCCAGAACCGTCTTGTTGATTTCGTTCCCTTATGCGCTCGGACCTTCTAATGCCTGTAATTGAACATTCAGAATTATGGTTAAACGTTCCATTTGCAGAACGGTTAGAAAGGGTTTCTTCAGGAAATCCATAAAAATCAGGTTCATCGTCATCTTCCCTACATCGTTTATTGCTAAGTTTTACCATTGAGTTTCTAGTTGACGTTTTGATTTCATTCAAACGCAACTGATCTCGATGTGCTGATTTGATAATTCCGTTAATATAAATTTGAAAAACGTTAATCGATATTGTTTTTACAAACGTAGCATCCAACCAGCGTTCAGCATCTTTTGGGCGATGATTCCGATACCATAACTTGTCTCCTGGTTTCAAGTTATTGAACTTGTCGATTTGGGGAACCACCCGATCTAGTACAGGATTCGAATTTTCAATTGTATCCAGATGACGGGGAACTAAGTTCTGTTTATAACTGTTCTTAGGATTAATTAGATCCAAAAGAATCTTCGGTTTATAAGAAAACACATGTTCCGAAGGAAACGTACTAGTTTTGGTGAGACAACTGTTTCTGTAATTTTTTAAGGAAATAATACATTTGTTCTTCCACATCTGTAAACTTCATTCGAGAGTCTAACAGAAACTTTTTGAAAACTTCCTTCACTGTTCGTACAGTTCTTTCCGCCTGCCCGTTGCTTGCAGGGTGATATGGTGGACTTTTGAGAACAACTATTCCTTGTTTTTGCATAAAATTAACAAATTCAGACGCATTAAAAGGTGGTCCTCCATCGGTCACCAGAACATCAGGTAAACCGAATCTTGCAAAGATATTTAAAAACTTTTTAATAACTTTGTATCCGTACCGTACCTCATATACTCTAGTTCTACCCACTTTGAGAAGCTGTCAACGACTACCAAGAAAATCTTTTCCCCAAAATAGAAAAAGTCAGCATGCACTCTGCTGAACGGTCGGCGTCCAGGAAGACTCCACTTTTTTCTTCGGTGTGACTAGTGTCTTGTATTACAGCTTTTGACATAATGTTCAATGTCCGCATTTATGCCGAACCAGAACACAGTTCTGCGAGCGAGTTGCTTGATTTTCACAATACCATCGTGATTAGAGTGTAATAATTTTAGGGTTTTTTGTTGTAGTGACTTCGGCACAACTACTCTGTTTTTGAATAGCAGGCAACCAGAGTATATTTCAAGGTCATGTGATTGGGCTTTAACATCTTTTAGAGTTCTATCAACTCTATCTGGCCAACCTTTACGGAGATAATCTATAATCTGCAATAGTAGGCCATCTTTTTCAGTTTCTTCTGCTATGAGATGAAAATCCATAGGAAGTTCTGTCGTAAAATTTAAACTATTTATGCATTCCCTGTCCAGGTTTCCAGGTACAGCACACGGTAAAGGAAAACGGGAGCAAAAATCTGCATTCCCCATTCTCCGAGAAGGTCGATATCTAATTTCAAAAC